TCTCCTCCCCTCCTCTCCCTTCCCATTGAGCTTCCATGAGAGGCTTTTACAGGCCTCTCGTGTCCAGTGTCTAGTTGCCTGATGATATACGGATTCCTACAGAGAAGGGAACCTGGGATGAAGGGCAGATGGCAGAGGAACTAATTTCAAGATAGGGATAGACAGACACTTCTGCAGGAGCTCAAAACATTCAGATGCTATCTGACATCCTTGTGGAAAGAGTTCTCTCACAGTCCAGAGATTTACTTCAAAGTACAAACCAGAAAGTATCTACATTATCTTGCCATTTTTATTGCCAACGGAAGTTTTTTAAAAACGGTGGTCAGCATGCGATGGGCATTTCTTCCCTTTTTTACCCTCCACAGACCCTGGAATGGACCAGTTGCTGGCATCTCACATTCCCACTCTGTAAGCACGGGCTTGAGGAGAAGGCATCACCAGAGGAGCAGTGAGCCACCCGCGACTCGGCACTTCTTCAGAGGATACTTCTAGCCAGCGCACCCACGGTCTGCACTGTGTCCTGTTCTCCAGAGCTGCCTGGTGAGAAAGGGGCCCTGATGCTCTGGCCAGAAGGTGCTGCAGCCCGGGGCTCACTGGGGGCGGCTATGGGCTGCTAGACCAGGAGAAAGGGTGTCGCCAGAGGAGGAATGAGCCACCTGTGACACGACAGGAAACATAGTCTAGCTCAATAGCTTCTGTCCTAGCCCTAAACCGCTGACTCACTGCCAAGGACAGTGGAAAACAGATGGGATGGAAATAATCCTAAGAAAGCAGAGGGCAGGTTCTTGAGTGTCTGTGCTTACTGGAAATCATACAGATGAAGACGCATCTGCTACTTCAAAAATCTCCACAGCCAGGCACCAGACAAGCCGCAGGCTTTCGCCAAAAGTTTGTCTGCTCCTTCATGTAGAAAGTTGATTCTCTCTACAGTGATAACCTTTCTTATTTGACTGCTCACTTGGGATTTCAGAGCTGATGTTAAAACTTTATTCATGAAACATTTTGACTGCCCACTCCAATTGGCAACAAATATGAATGCAAACCCTGGTCACAATAAAAAAAAGGTCATAACATAATAAAATGAGTCAGGTCATTTGTGCCCAAAACTAACATCCTATTTTCCTTGTCCTGCCAGGTTTTGTGAAAAAACAAACAAACAGGAAATTAGCTGATGAAGAGAGACATTGTGCCTCTGGCAAGAAAAAAAAAAAAGACCTTAGGATTCCTTGTGGGTCCCTAACGATGTGGCCTGGACCAGGCCTCAGCACCTCATCACTCTCCTGCAAAAGAGAATCGCTACCTCCTACAAGAAAATGATGGCGGATTCTTTTTCACATTTGCAATGATGAGTGACAGAGGCTACACATCCTCTGGAATATTATGGCTGACTGGACTGGTTAAGTAGCATATTGCCCTCTGTTTCCTGGGAAATGAGTGGCAAGACTCATTAGCTTAACTCCAGGAAATGGGTGCTCCTCAGCTCTAACAATTAGACTACTTCACAGCAGTGAAGACAGACAAGAATTAGGTGCTATGATATAAAATGGAAAACAGGAAATTTGAATTATTACAGGTGTGGTGCTGCTCCCTCCATAAAACGTGACCTCTTCCCATGTCACAATGAAGACCCAAGTGGCAGAGAAGGCTGCCATGTCTTTGAAGTACTTCCTGATGTCCTTAGTGGCTCTCTTCAAGATGACAGGGTCCATGGTCTCTCTATAGTAGATCTCGCCTCGGATTCCATTGTGCACATCTGCCCAGAACGGAGCGATGAAGGCCCTCCCATCTGTCAGGGGAAAGGATTCCGGCGTGAACTGGCTCACTAGCACGTTGAAGGAGACAACACCGTTGTTATTGACCTACAAAAATAGACAGGTTTTGCACAGTGGATCTGAAACTAAGACAGATGTTTGCCCAATCATATGAATTAGGAAACAACTTTCAGTGAATCAGAACTCCCAAATACCACCCAGCCAGGAGGTCTGGTCATTTCCAAACTCAGATTTACTTTCACTTTCAACTTGTAGTCAGCTGCATTTCTTATTAATAATCAGTCTCATTTTCATGTTTTTGATCCTATCTCTGTTCACATTTATCTAATGCTACTCAGGTGTGTGTGTGTGTGTGTGTGTGTGTGTGTGTGTGTGTGTGTGTGTGTGTGTTTGGCCAGGCAGGGAGTAATGTGGGCAGTAAAGAAGACCCAGAGTCACAGGAAAAATAAAACATGGAAGCAAAATGTTAAATTAAATTAAAAAATGGAGGAGCTCTATATAGTAGACCTTGGTTTCTATTATATGACAAGAGAGGAATGTCAGAAAAAAAAAAAAANCCAGGCAGGGAGTAATGTGGGCAGTAAAGAAGACCCAGAGTCACAGGAAAAATAAAACATGGAAGCAAAATGTTAAATTAAATTAAAAAATGGAGGAGCTCTATATAGTAGACCTTGGTTTCTATTATATGACAAGAGAGGAATGTCAGAAAAAAAAAACCCAAATGCTTCCTCATCACACTCAGATCTCTGGAGGAATCACTTCCTGCTCTCGATGATCCATTTAAAGGACTTCTAGGGATGTTACTACCACCCTATTCTGTCTCGTGATTTTTATCATGATTTTCAAATGGTTTAGTAGACTTGTTAAACTGCAAAACCTCACTGCAAATCATAAGCAGTATGTACACTCAGCTGACAGGGCCTGTTCACAGCCTGCCTCTGCCTGAGCCCACAGCTCTGTGTTGGTGGTGAGACTGCTGAACCCTGTGGCCTGTATGAAAGGCTGACGGAAATAATTGCAATTTCTTGATACAGAAAACTTGGAGATCATTTTTCCATGCATTCTAACTTTTATGTTCATATTAATTATTGGTATTCTGGACATTAACAAGGACATGGATCCCAGAGGTAAGTTATCAGTGCTTGGGCCAACGGTTTGGCAATCTGCTTGGAAGCAACGGTGTGGAGTTTGGAAAGGAAGCTGGAGAACCAGCTATAATAGCATTAAGAGCCTATTGTCTACAAATAATAGCTAACAACCCAGAGGCTTGAAAAAGGACTGCATTACTCACTCATAGTGCTGGAAACTCTTGAGACCAATTTGCCCTCAAATAACTCCGGCCCAAATTAAGGACCCTCCTTTTTAAGGACAACAAATATTCAGACTCCATGTCACATAGCACATGGGAGAGAAAGGAGCTTAACAAAATACATTTGTTCTACTATTTGTAAGCCCAGTGCTTCCAGAATGCAAGTCCTGTACACATCTCCCATCTCCAAAATCAGGTCAACACATTCTGAAATTTACAACCAGCTCTGCTGTGAATAGAGTGTAAAAGGCATTTCAGGGTGTTTGCTGGGGAGTAATGGGGCAATTAAAACACAGGGATTAGCAAAGGAATCTGGTGATGGCTCAGTTGTGTTATTATATTCTAATGTTAAGATTAGTCATTCTCTGGGTGCCATCAACAAATCAACAAACGACATGTGCTGGCGAGGGTGTGGAGAAAGGGGAGCCCTAGTGCACTGCTGGTGGGAATGCAGACTGGGGCAGCCACTATGGAAAACAGTATGGAGTTTCCTCAAAAAACTAGAAATGGAGCTGCCTTTTGACCCAGGGATTCCACTCCTAGGAATATATCCTAAGAATCCTGAAACATTCATCAGAAAGAATATCTGCACCCCGATGTTCATAGCAGCACAGTTTACAATAGCTAAGATCTGGAAACAGCCCAAGTGCCCATCAGTAGATGAGTGGATAAAAAAGCTGTGGGACATTCACACCATGGAATACTACGCAGCTGTAAAGAAGAAGAATCTCGTACCCTTTGGAACAGTATGGATGGTCCTGGAGAATATTATGCTAAGTGAAATAAGCCAGGCAGCGAAAGACAAACATCACATGATCTCGCTTATACATGGAATCTAAAGAACTTAACAAACTGATGAACAGAATAGATTCAATGACATGGAAGCATGGATGAGACTGACGAATGTCAGAGGGATGGAGGAGGGCGGGGGGGTGAAGGGGGAGAGAGCAACCAAAGAATTTATATGCA